TACTGCTATACTGCTATACTGCTACTGCTACTGCTACTGCTACTGCTACTACTACTACTACTACTACTACTACTACTATCCTCCGCCTACTACTGCTGGTACTGGCACTGGCACTGGCACCGACACCGGCACTGACACTGGCGTCGGCACTGGTACTGGCACTGCTAGTGCTGGTCTGCCCGCTGCCTGCTACTGCTCCTGCCCCTGCTCCTGCTCCTGCAAATGCTGCTGCTACTGTTACCGCTACTGCTCCTGCTTTACTGCTACTGCTACTGCTTCTACCACTGCGACTGACACTAAGGCTGCCACGACGACGACTACTACGACCACCACTCCGGACGGTATTTTTTCACAGCCAATGCTAAAAGGAAGCAGGTAGGGGAATCACTTAAAGACGTCTACGAAAAGTGGTGCAAGATTCTGTCCAACCACAGTATCACTACGACTAACTACCATGACGACAGTCAGGACGATGGCTGCTGCTGCTCTCGCTGCTACCATACCAACACAACCACCCTCTTCTCTGGCGCCAACAGTTCCACGATGACCACCAGAAATGACACCTGCAACAACACAACCAGAACGACTGTGACCACCAACGGCACCGACGAAGCATCACCTTCCCTCCTGGGAACATTTTCTAAGGTTTACCCAGATCGTTGCACAAGCCAAAAGGCATCCCCGAGAAGCCGGTGTTTTGCTCGGCCACCATGTCCTTGCTATTCATTGCCTGGGACCGATCTTCGTACTAGAAACGAAGAGATCGAAGATAAGCTTTCGCTGTACTGTAGGGGCCTTAATAATTACCTATACTATTTTGGCTGTTCCTTACTATGAATATAATGGGCCCCGAAACCCTCTTAAATTATTAAGGCCCCTATAGTATGGTTTCGGCACATCTTCATGGCTCGGGTCTTCCAGCCTCAGGTTAAAGTTGGGGTCTGGGGCCTTCGGGCACCGACACCAAGCCGACACTTGTTGAGAGCGAGCCTCTCTGCTCATTTGTCTGTCGGTTTAGGGTTTGGGTTTAGGGCTTGGGATCTAGGGTCAAGGGTCTCTCTCTCTCTCTCTCTCTCTCTTCACTTTCTCTCTCTTGCTCTCGCTGACTTCTGCTATCCCTCACACAACGACAGCCAGCTCCTTCTCCATGTCCATGTACGTGTTGCACACGGCCACCTGCACAGGATATCGGAGTCCATCTTCTGCACAGCGGTACGGGTCAGAGTAAATTTCTGCTTGGGTTGGTTGAATGCCGCGGCATGTGTTCCGAACAAGTCGCCGTACATGTGGACTAACTGCATGTCTTCTTGATCAGGCTTTCGATTTCACTTTCAGGTGTTTGTCAACATCCGTTTTGGTAAGGGTGATGTATGCTTGATGAATGTGCAAGGACTGTCAAGGAATGGCATGTCGTAGCTTCGCGGCTCGAGAAGCTGCGGGGGTGCTAAGATTAAGGTCCTTCCGGAAACAGTCTGCTTCAGGGACGGGACGTGACTTAAATCACCCCGGCCGTGTCTTCCACCCATCTTCTAATTTTTCAACCCTGGCCCTGACCCTAAAGTAGACCTACTCCGTAACTATCAACTGGCTATCCGGGTGAGTTGTAGAGCTCGTGCAATCCTCTCAGTCTTTCCGACCGTATGCCGAAACAACTCCATCCAAAGTCTACAACTCCTGGCATGAGGTCTAGCATATGACGAGGGATGTATCAATGCCACGAGTTTGGCTCACACAAGGTCCCTGTCCTCACATGACAAGACGTTGTTGGGTTCGCACGAAGTTAACATGTTGCAAAATTGAACATTTCAACCCTAAATGCCAGCCTGTGCACCTCGTCACCTATACCCAACAGCTTCATCGACCGAGCACTTTACAAACCGCGATACCTCGAGCGGAAACCAACAGCACGAACTCTGCAAGAAGCGCGCGTATCGAAATCCGAAGTCTGTCCAAAACCCTGAGGCGCATACCGTATGCACTCAGGGTACTTGGAGGATCATGGGACATAGTAACTAGGGTTACAAGTAAGGTAACTATAATTATAACCCCAATTAGGGTACCTATAACCTGGCTTACTAAGTCCCATGATCCACCAAGTAAATAGTGACTGAAACCAAGGCCTTGTTTGTCAAACACGTGTTTGACAGAACCCTACACCGCCTAGACCATCCAGAACCCAATTGAAACCCTGCATCGCCATCAGACCCCTGTATTGACCCCAAGCCGACAACTCTTGAAGCCCGAAACCCCTGCGAAAATCCCGAAAGACCTTACTTGGAGGAGCATGGGACTTAGTAAGTAAGGTTCTAGGTACCCGAATTGGGGCTATAATTATAGTTACCTTACTTATAACCCTAGTTACTAAGTCCCATGATCCTCCAAGTAATCCAAAGGCGCACCATTCCAGGATGCTGCAGCAGCGGGAGCAAGGTTGCCCAGAGTGCTAAAATCACAGCAGCGACGGACCTCTCCCCGGATTCGGCGTTCTTTCGAGGGCGCTTGAGGGTATTACAAGTTTGTTACAGCAAGGCAGTATAGTGTACTGTAGGGTACTTTAGGGTATTATGGGGTACCATAGGGCATTACAGGGACGTTTGTATTATAGGTTTGGGGGTTCAGAGTTCTCGCTAGCAAAGTTACTCTTGGTGTAAGCGCTGTAGCAAGTTAAGCTCGGCAACCTAGTCGTATCCTGAATCCGGGTAAAATTCGATGGTCATGGAAGTGATGAGTGTTAGAACTCTGGAGGGTCTCAGCATCCCCTCATCGGTACGACTCTGTCTGTCTGTCTGTCTGTCTGTCTGTCCTGGACTTACAGCTACTGAACACCCTCGGAAGTTAATAAGAACGTCGTAGCAGGCTGGAATGGTGTTCGAGCTTCGGCCCTATTAACATTTCGTCTTGGCTCCAAGGCTGCATGCTTGGGGGGAGGGAGGCTATGCTATGAATCATCGGTATTTTTTTCATAACGTATAGCTATTCGCCATGCTTCTATGATTCGTATACCGTCGCAAACGGAGCAGCCAGGCTTCATCTAGGTTTAGGATCTCCGCCTAAGCCAGTGTTCCTTGGAGCCACGAAGTAAGAACCCCAATGTGAAGTAGGGCTTCTTTGTACAGGTATCCACGACTATTCCTACTCCCACCCAAACCTAAACCCAAACCCTAAATCGTTAGTTTCATAAGTTTAAGATTCCTGGAGACTCAAAAAAAACCCATCTCCTCAGCCCCAACCAACACTCCAAACCCCATACCCTTAAAGCCCCAAATCCCTAAAATCCCCAAAACCGAACGCAAGAACTAAACCCTGAACCCTAAACCCTCAACTAGCTTGCCAAACAAAAACCGACAAGAACCGAAGCCTTGAGAACCCTGATTTTAGGGTATGAGGAACCCTAAGGACAAATATACAGGCAAGTAATTATATTATACTCGATTATGTCAAACTATATTATAGTTCATGACAGTCTACTATATTGTATCTTTTTATAGTATATAGTGTTACATTGTGATATGTTATATTATATGATAATCTAAATAATCTACTATATTATAATGTATGAGAATATATATATATATATATATGTATGTATATATAATCACCTGCCTGCAGAGTGCACGGTAGCGGACGCTTGCCCATGTCTTCTGGCCTTCGGGGCATAGGTCGCCCTCCTCGGCTTCTGGTCTTCAGGGCTTTCGGCTTAGAGTTGCGGGTTCACGGTTTAGGGTTTAGGGTTTAGGGTTTCGGGTTCACGGTTTAGGGTTTATATGGTTTATGGTTTAGGGTTCAGTGTTTCGGGTCTAGGGTTTATGTTTTGGCTGTATGAGACAGGGTTTGGTGAGCGTCGAAGAGTTCTCATGGGGCGCTCTGGTTTTATCGCTTATCGGCCTTTCTGAAAGGATTTTCGGTTGAGGATTAATTCAATGTCTCCGGCTTTCTGAACTGCTGCACCTGAACTTATGAACCCCCAATCCTCTCCTCACACCCCGAACCCCAAACCTTCGAACTTTCCATATCTACTATACCTTAAGAACCCAAAACCTACTTTTTTGTAGGGTCCCTATAAATCCCATTTATAAGGACCTACTAAAAAGTGGGTGTTGGGTTCTTAAGGTAGGGTATAATGATTCCGGCGTGAGGTGCGAGGCCGCGCGCTCGCGCGTGTATACGCGCGTAACTCAGGACCCCCAAACCCCCAAACCCGAACTCCGCAGAACCGTGAGCCTGCTTCCCGGTTCCCTGCGGCCGCGCGTCTTTCAATGCGCGGGGTCTGCAACAGCCCACACTCATGTTCTGTGGAGGCAGGCTGTCGGAAGCTATTGCTACGACTTTCGAGCTTCGGGTTTAGGGTTTCGGGTTTAGGGTTTGGGGTTTAGGATATTTTTACTTCCACGGTCAGTATTAAGGGCTGAGCAAACCGCAGTAGAAGGAATAGTAGTCCTTTGCTTACAGAAGGCCGCCCCCTTCCTTCCATCAGGCTGCTTCTACTCGCGGGAACAGCTGATTCTTGTACCAAGGCGAGGCCAGCGATTCGGTCTTGAGCTTAAGGCGTATAATAGCTTTACAAAACTAGGGCGTTCATAAAAATGCAGTGAAGTGTAGAATCACATGGCATCATATAGTGAACAGGGGTCTAATATAACATGATACGGTACAGTATAGTATATAATAGAATAGTATAGTATAGTAACTATAGGATGGTACAGTACAGTATAGTATAATGTAGTATAACACGACACGGATATGACATAATATGAAGATATTATATGATATGGTATTATCTGTCACGATATGATATGAAACAATTCGATGTGATATGGCGTGATATGATATGAAATGACATTGTGATATAACATAATGCGCCGTAGTTTTATATGATATATTCTAACATAGTATAGTGTGACATACTATTATACAACAGAATATGGCATAACAACCAAGATAGTATAATATTATATATATATATATATGTATATATTAAACTATGACATAACAAGATCTGATTTAAGCTTAAGATAACACACTATAATATGCTAAAGTATTTTGAAATGGTATAATAGAACATAGCCTGATATAAGATGACATGGGATAAGATAATATAGTATAAGGTGCTACAATACTAGACTATATTAACAGATAAGACTTCAGAATACAATATAATATAACCTATTGTGACATGACATGATCTAATATGGTATAAGCTGACATGAGATTACATAAGACAAGGTAATGTAATTAGATGCAATATCATATCAGATCAACCAAGGGTCTAATGTAGCGTAACACAATATATTCTAACACAATGCACTACAAGATGATACAATCGTATTCCAACATGTGATAATGTAAAATATGCGTGAATCATGCTGCTTTAATACAGCCACCCTAAACCCTAAACCCTAAACCCAAAGCCTATAGTAGGTTCAAACCTCAACCGCGGACTTGAGACTCTGAGGGCAGAACGTCTCCGTCGTAGAAGGGGGTAGGGTTTAAGCGTCAAGGTTTGGGGTTTAGGGTTTAATTAGGGTTTGGGTTTTAGGGTTTAGGGTTTAGGGGTTTAGGGTTTAGGGTTCGAAAGATGCTCCGTTCTCGGTTCTGCAGGTTTTATGCTGATTGAGGCTTGGGGTGCAGACACTCTCTGAAACCTTACACCCTGGACCCTAAACCTAAGCCCTAAACCCTAAACCCTGAACCCTAAACCCTAAACCCTGGACCCTACACCCCAAACGCCTGTCCCCCTGAGCCCTGAATCGGCTTGCGGGGGTCTCCACAAATTGGATGATTCGGGTCTGCTCTGAACATTAGGGCTCAGGCCCTTATGATACCAATACCGATCCTTGTAGTAGGGTCTATAGGCTTTAGGGTTTAGGGTTTAGGGTCTATTCTGGAGTTCGCTTCTGTGCCATACCTTGTACCCTAACAGCACTAGGCAGAGATAGAACTTGGGAGAAGACCAGTTGGTGGGATGAGATTTTGGTTGTAGGATGCAGCATCCCAGAGACTCCAATACCCCTTAATTAAGGAATATACCTCAAGTGATAGTAGGATCCCTAGTAAGACTTAAGGTATATTACTTAATTAAGGGGTATTGGAGTCCCTGGGATGATGCAACACCAGAAAGCACGGGACTTAGTGGGACTCAGGAAGAAAGGATATGCGGATCTGCATTGCCGGGGTATGTCGCTCAGAGTTTTGCGACGGAGTCTTTCGAATACAGGGCAGACAACTCAAGCACATATCAAGACTGCTGAGGCTATGCCAAGAACACCTCTACAAACACCAGCACATGGTATTCGACTAAAGCTTCAAATTTAACAGCTGACCATGGTATCGAATCACGAAGCGGGAATTGCAGACGATTGTGGGCGCTATGACAGACACTTACTAAACAGTAACATTCTTATTCTTGGGACCCCTCAAAATACCTAAACCCTAAACCCTAAACCCTAAACCCTTAAAAGGAACCAACTGGTTTCTAAGGAGCAAAAATTGGCGAAGTGGGTCGATTGTCCACACTGCGGTGACACAGGCGCGACAACTTCATGGAGCCAAACGATTCGCTGCAAACGTCGCTGAACATAAAGCTGTGGATGGACTAGGTTTAGGGTTTAGGGCCTAGGGTTTAGGGTTCTCTCTATTGTGTATGTTGCAAGCAAAAAAGGCGAGTAAGCTACTACCAGGAGAATTTGAAGATCCTACTACCTAGAAATTCGAAGCCCTGCACCCCAGGCCATACAAGCCCTACACCCGCAACCATAAAAGCCCGAGTAAGTTGTGAAGGCATCGCAGCATGAGATTGGAAATCCTAGCAGGGCCCAGCGTTTGCACTATTTGTCACTCCAGGCCATTCCCAGCCAGCTTTCCCAAAGAACTCTTGAACATTTACAGATGACGGGCAAGGGCCCTGGTTTGGGTTAAAGGTCCTGGACGTTATCTTCCCTATTTCACATGTTTCCGTGAAAGCCATGAAACCCTAAACCCTAAACCGAATAGTAGCCAGAAGATCATTCGGGAATGGCGGCAGGTATCTAAGATCCTGAAGTTTGCAGGATCCGAGCATTCGCGTCATGCCCGATGGGCGCTCTGCTCTGCATCCCACCCGGGAATAGCACGGCATCCTAAAAAGTGCATGTCTCTTGTGACGGCACCGTTTAAGTTCGTGTAAGTTGGCCCAGGTCAGATGCCAGGAGCAAAGAGCAGAACTCGTACCACCTCATTTTGGGCCTTTGAGGACCGGGCAGCGATTAACCCGAGTTGACACTGCATCTGCCCAAAGAGCCCAATAGCCCTTAATCAAGGAATATACCTTAAATGGTAATATTCAGGCCCCTAGAATTTAAGGGATATTCCCTATTTAAGGGGTAAGTGGGTACTGCGCATCTAAAGTGCGCATCTAAAGAAGCTAAAGCAGCTCGATGTCTGCTGCAAGCCAGACTGCAAAAGGGTTCTTAATAATTTGACTAGGGTTTTGGGGCCCATTCTACTATGACTATGATACAGAACCCTACGGAATAATATTGGGGTTCCTAATAATTGGAGTAGGGTTTGGGGGCCCATTATAGTCTGTGTATAATAAGGGAATAATATTAGTAATTATTTAGACTTCAATGTTACCCAGTTTGCGGCTGAGGGGTTCAGCGCCGTTTAGGGCTCGGGGTTTAAGGAAGGTAGACTCACAAAAAGTCTCCGCCCGATTGCCACTCCACTCCTAGAGGCTGCCAGCATGTTGGCGGCACGAATAAGAAGCCCAAGCCCTAAACCCTACACCCTAAATCCTAAATAAC